ATTAAGAATTTTTGATTAATATACCATGATTACATACATTTGTGAATATATAGATATTTTAAAGTTTTCTGGGATACCAATTTTTTCTTTTCTTCTTCTTTTCTTTTTCTTTTTTGAGGCAAGTCACTGCTTTGTCATTCAGGCTGAAGCACAGTGGTGTGATCTCGACTCACTGCAACCTCTGCCTTCTTGGCTTTAGTCATCCTCCCACCTCAGCCTCCTGAGTAACTGGGACCCTAGGTACAGGCTGCCATGCCCATCTAATTTTTATATTTGTTGTAGAGATGGGATCTCACCATGTTTCCCAGGCCAGCTTCAAACTCCTGGGCTCAAGTGATCCTCCCCGCTCAACCTCCCCCTGTGCTGGGATTATAAGTGTGAGCCACCTCACCTGACCTGCCATTCTCTTTTCATGGATCATTAAGAATTTACCTTTTAGGCCGGGCACGGTGGCTCAAGCCTGTAATCCCAGCACTTTGGGAGGCCGAGGCGGGTGGATCACGAGGTCAAGAGATCGAGACCATCCTGGTCAACAAGGTGAAACCCCGTCTCTACTAAAAATACAAAAAGTTAGCTGGGCATGGTGGTGCGTGCCTGTAATCCCAGCTACTTAGGAGGCTGAGGCAGGAGAATTGCCTGAGCCCAGGAGGCGGAGGTTGCGGTGAGCCGAGATCGCGCCATTGCACTCCAGCCTGGGTAACAAGAGCGAAACTCAGTCTCAAAAAAAAAAAAAAAAAAAAAAAAAAAAAAAAAAAAATTTACCTTTTAATTAGTATACTATAAATATATATGTAAAAATGTGTGCATATATTTATATGTGAATATATGTGTGTATATATTTACATAGCATACACACACTCCCACATATATATTGTGAGATATTTCCATACCTAGAATTTTTTTTTTTTTTTGAGACAGTCTCACTCTGTTGCCAAGCGCCAGGCTGGAGTTCAGTGGCGCGATCTCGGCTCACTGCAACCTCCGCCTCCCGGGTTCAAGCAATTCTTCTGCCTCAGCCTCCCAAGTAGCTGGAATTACAGGCACATGCCACAACGCCCAGCTAATTTTTGTATTTTTAGTAGAGATGGGTTTCACCATGTTGGCCAGGATGGTCTCGAGCTCTTGACCTCGTGATCCACCCACCTTGGCCTTGCAAAGTGCTGGTATTACAGGCGTGAGCCACTGCACCTGGCCCATAACTAGAAATTGATAAGCTTCTTCCAGCTTTTGAAACCACCCTTAGCACAAACATGAAAGAAGTACAAATTATCATTTTTGTTTGTTTGTTTGTTTTTGTTTTGTTTTGAGACGGAGTTTCACTTTTGTTACCCAGGCTGGAGTGCAATGGCACGATCTCGGCTCACCGCAACCTCCGCCTCCTGGGTTCAGGCAATTCTCCTGCCTCAGCCTCCTGAGTAGCTGGGATTACAGGCACGAGCCACCATGCCCAGCTAATTTTTTGTGTTTTTAGTAGAGACGGGGTTTCACCATGTTGACCAGGACAGTCTCGATCTCTCGACCTCGTAATCCACCCGCCTCGGCCTCCCAAAGTGCTGGGATTACAGGCTTGAGCCACCGCACCTGGCAAATTATCATTATTAATGACCATGGACCAAGATGACCATGAGTCAATAGTACTTTCTACCTCAATCACCTTCCAGCAGAGCATCTCAAAGGGCTGAATAGATCTGAACATCATACCCTTTCACATAGATGAGGATGCTTTGTAATTATTACTTCTCTTGAGACCTCAGTATGGCCCTCATCAGTGTGAAATCAGAAACTATTTCCCAGATCATAGAGGTGTTGAATAACAGGTTTGGTCAGTAAATAGTTATTGCATTTGGTTTCTCATGACAAGCTCCTAGCCTAGGCAGATGGAATATTGCAGAAATGTGTGTGTGTGTGTGTGTGTGTGTGTGTGTGTGTGTGTGTGTGTGTGTGTTTGCAAACATTCTTGTACACAGATGTGGGGATAGAAGTAGGTGGTTGAATTTGATAAAACCAGAAGTGGGCAGGCTACTGGGAGGGGCACTTGTTTTGGCAGCAGCTGTGTAACTCTGGAGTTAAGAAATAATTGTAAGCCTCAGTTTTGTCTCCTGGAAAATAAAGATTATAATTCCTGCCTTCATATGTCAATTAGATGGTCCACTACATGCAAAATATCTAGTATATAATAGGTGCTGAATAAATACTACTTTCTGTAGTTCATTCTTAATCACTGCTTAATTTAAAAGGTTTAGAATAACAAAGGCTTTTGTAAAAATTATTTGTCATTATTATATAAAATCCGAATCCTATAGAAAAGTACAAAGAGGCTGGGCACGGTGGCTAATGCCTGTAATTCCAGCACTTTGGGAGGCTGAGGCAGGCAGATTACTTGAAGTCAGCATTTCAAGACCAAAATGAGCAACATGGCAATATCCCATCTAAAAAAAAATTAAATACCAGTTATGGTCATGGACACCTGTAGTCCCAACTACTTGGGAGGCTGAGGCAGGTGGATCACTAGAACCAGGAGTTTGAGACTTCAGCCTGGGCAACAGAGTGAGACCCTGTCAGAGAGAGATAGAGAGAGAGAGAACAGAAAAGCAATGTAATAAATCATAAAATTATGGCTGGGTGCAATATCTCACACCTGCAATCCCAGCACTATGGGAGGCCAAGGTGGGCAGATCACTTGAAATGTGGAGTTCGAGACCAGCCTGGCCAACATGGCAAAACCCCATCTCTACTAAAAATTCAAATATTAGCCTGGTGTCGTGGTGGGTGCCTGTAATCTCAACTACTCAAGAGGCTGAGGGATGCGAATCGCTTGAGCCTGGGAGAAGGTTGCAGTGAGCCGAGATTGTACCATTCCACTCCAGCCTAGGCAACAGAGTGAGACTTTGTCTCAAAAACGAAAACAAAAGAAAGGTGATAATTAATTCAAAACTCTTTTTGTGCAAATAGGTAGTTAGAGAAATGAATGGATTAAAAATAACTACGTATTTTGTATGTGTTTTAGTTTAAATATATATAACTTTAATTTTGCTTGATACAACAGAAGCTTAGGAAACAGAAGTAAGGTGGCAACATTTCTGAACTTCAGATTAATGTCCATGTGCAAGTGATATCTTTTCATTCAACATTCATTAAAATTATAAAAAAAGATAAAAGTGTCATAATTCTTTTTAATCTGCAGTTTCTATTTTCACCCACAGCTGCTTCAAAGTCTGTTTTCTATTTTTGAAATTGGTGCATGTTTGAGACTTTCTGTTTAATGCGAGTGTACTTGGATGACATCTTTCTTGGGAGAATATTCTTGATTCATTTTCCGTGTTTTTAGTTCTTTCTTTAAGTTCTGACCCTATTGTCATCTGGTTCTGGCTGGAGCTATAGGAAGGTCTGAGGCTGGCTGGAGGTTCTTCTCACATATGCATTATATTTTCCTGCTGAAAGTCCAGTGGAGTACTTTTTTTTTTTTTTTTTTTTTTTATCATTGATGTTCAATAGCTTAGCCAGATAACTCTAGGCCAGTCATTCTGCATTAGTTTTTCCAGGTATATGGTGTGCCCTTTGACTACTGATTATGTACTTCCCTCTCTCTGCATTCCTTCCTTTCCTTCTTTCTTTTTCACTCTCTCTCCCTTCCCTCCCTCCCTTCCTTCCTCCCTTCCTTCCCTTCTTCCTTCCTTACTTCCCTCCCTCCATTCTTACATTCTTCCTTTCTTTCAAGACAGGGCCTTGGTCTGTCACCCAGGTTCTAGAACAAAGTGGTGTCATCATAGCTCACTGCAGCCTCAAAAAATCTTCTGGGCTCAAAAAATCTTCCCACCTCAGCCTTCCATGTAGCTGGGACTACAGGCATGCACCACCACACCAGGCTAATTTTTGTTACTTTTCTAGAGATGGGGTTTTGCTATGTTGCCCAGGCTTTTCTTGAACTTCTGGCCTCAAGCTATTCTCCCACCTTATCCTCCTAAGGCACTGGGATTATAGGTGTGAGCCACCGTGCCCAGCCTTGTTTTTTTGTTTTTGTTATTTTTGTTTTTTTTTTTTAGGTTCTCTAACTCAGGGTCACCAATTGACAGCCCAGTGTTAGACTATTATCTCTAATTTCCATGACTTTTTTCAGTTGCTTTAATGTAGCTCTTTTATCCTCTGATTCACTTTGTTTTTTATTTTTATTTTCTTGAGACGCAGTGTTACTCTGTCACCCAGGCTGAAGTGCAGCGGTGGAATCTCGGCTCACTGCAACCTTTGCCTCCCAAGTTCAAGTGATTCTTCTGCCTCAGCATCTCAAAGTAGCTGGGATTACAGGTGCACATCACCACATCCAGCTAATTTTTGTATTTTTAGTAGAGATGGGGTTTTGCCATGTTTGCCAGTCTGGTCTCAAACTCCTGACCTCAGGTGATCCGCCCACCTTGGTCTCCCAAATTGCTGGGATTACAGGTGTGAGCCACCACGCCTGGCTGCCACATTTCCTTTATTTTTTCTACTGATGGAAGAAAACTTGGGTTGATTCTAATTCTTCACTATTGTGAAGCCCTGTCTCCACTAAAAAATATAAAAATTAGCCCAGCATGGTGGCAATTGCCTGTAATTTCAGCTACTTGGGAGGCTGAGGCAAAAGAATTGCTTAAACTCGGGAGGTGGAAGTTGTAGGAGATGGAGGGGCAAGAGTGGGAGCAGGACATCTGGTGAGGAGCTGCCATATCAACATCTTTTGATCACTCCAGGCCACGTTTTGAGTGGGGCCTCTGCAAGAAAGTGACCCAGCCTCAGATGCCTTAATTCTGACACTCTATGCTGGTGGAAGCCCTGTGAGGTCACACTGTGGCAGCTTCTTGGGAAAGTGTTGGCTGTTCAAAATCAACATTTTGGTTTATTCCTTTGATATTGGAGACAATGACCTGTTTCTCCTCATATGTCTGCTCAAGATAGTTACAAATTTAGTAAAGATAGGGTTTCACCATGTTGGCCAGGCAGGTCTTGAACTCCTGACAGACAATCTCCCTGCCTTGGCCAATCAAAGTGCTGGGATTACAGGTGTGAGACACTGCACCCCGCCCTTCTTCCATTCTTGCTCAATTTCTTCTTTTCTTCTCTCTCTTTCTGCCTCCTTATTTTTTCCTTGACATCCTGGAAACCATAGGGAATATATATGAATCATAATTCCAAGGGCAATTAAAAAAAATTTTTTAGAGAGAGGGTCTTGCTCTGCCACTTAGGCTGGAATGCAGTGGTGAGATCTCTGCTGACTGCAACCTCCACTTCCTGGGCTCAAGCAATCCTCATGCCTGAGCCCCCAAAGTAGCTGGGACTACAGGTGTGCAGTACTGTGCCCAGCTAATCTGAAAAAAATCATTTTTGGAGCAATAGAGTTTTGCTACTCTGCCTGGGCTGGTCTTGAACTCCTGGCCTCAAGTGATCCTCCTCACTTGGCTTCCCAAAGTGTTAGGATTACAAGAATGAGTCACTATACCTGGCCACTTTTTTAATGGAGAAGAGTCCAAGAAACACTATCTCTGATAAAAACATGAGTAAAACTCTTGAAGTGTCGCTTTTCTTCACTCTCCATTTTTCCCCTTTCCCTGTCTCTTAACATCAAATTTCATTGAATGCCTCTAGATACAACTTTCCAATGCTCCTCCTTTTTTTTTCCTGAAGATATAGTGTTGCTCTATCCCCCAGGCTGTAGTACAGTGGAGTGATCTCAGCTAACTACAACCTCTGCCTCCTGGGTTCAAGCAATTCTCATGCCTCAGACTCCCCTGAGTTCCTGGGATTATAGGCGCCAGCCACCATGCCTGGTTAATTTTTGTACTTTTAGTAGAGAGGGGTTTCATCATGTTGGCCAGGCTGGTCTCTAACTTCTAACCTCAAGCACATGCCTGTAATGCCAGCTACCTGGGAGACTGACACAGGAGAATAGCTGGTACCCAGGAGGTGGAGGTTGCAGTGAGCCGAGATGGCACCATTGCACTCCAGCCTAAGTGACAGAGTGAGACTCTGTCTCAAAATAAATAAATAAATAAATAAATAAATGCTTTTTTTTCCTGCCACCCCAGACTTCTGGAAAAGTAGTTTGGAGCTGTGCCCAGGGATCCCAGCCTTTGCCCTCAATTGCAAACAGAGTAGAGTGTCTCTTAGCTCAGGAGTTTGTGCTGCTCAAGAGTTTGCACAAACACAAAGTTGAGAAACACTGCTTGCTGAAACGGGTGTAAAAGGCAAAGGACAAACCGGTTGTCCTCTAAAGTGGAGACATTTCTATTCTATGTTGGGCTCAGATCTTAATAAAGTTGGGGTTCATTATAAATTATCTGTTACAGCAGCATAGAATGCATGAAGACAAGTGCCTCTGGATGATTCACCCTGGAGAGAAGAAACTGGTTTAAATTGCAGATTTTTTAGTGTAAATTGCAGATTTTTTAGTGTTTTCCAGCACTCTGAATCTAAATCCCTAAATGTCTAAATCTCTGCTTATCTAATTTTTAACAACTTTCCTGGTGATTCTTAAGCACATTAAAATTTAAGAACAGGCCAGGCACAGTGGCTCACATCTGTAATCTCAGCACTTTGGGAGGCTGAGGCGGGTGGATCACGAGGTCAAGAGTATAAGACCAGACTGGCCAATATGGTGAAACCCCATCTCTACTAAAAAAAAAAAAACAAAAAAACAAGAAACAAAAATTAGCTGGGTACCTTATGCTTGTAATCCCAGCTACATGGGAGGCTGAGGCAGGAGAATTCCTTAAACTGGGACCCAGGAGGCAAAGGTTGCAGTGAGCCGAGATTATCCCACTGCACTCCAGCCTTGGCAACGAGCGAGACTCCACTTAAAAAAAAAAAATTAAGAACAGCTGCTCTATGTCCAATATCGTTTAAACCTGGAAAATATGCAGTCACCAACCCTTCAATCAATGTGAATGCGGTAAAGCTGGGGTCCTGAACTATTCCTGTCACCAATGCAACACTGCATCTCTGGACTCCAGACCAATTTCTCTGATGCTCATAATTTGCCTGCATTAAATGTACTTTTGTGAAATATATTTCTTTTACTTCTTTTTTGAGATAGAGTCTCACTCTGTCTCCCAGGCTGGAGTGCAGTGGTGCAATCTCAGCTCACTGCAACCTCTGCCTCCTAGGTTCAAGAAATTCTCCTGCCTCAGTCTCCCGAGTAGCTGTGATTACAGGCGGCCATCACGACTCCTGGCTAATTTTTGTATTTTTAGTAGAGACAGGGTTTCACCATGTTTGCCAAGCTGGTCTTGAACTCCTGACCTCAGGTGATCTGCCTGCCTTGGCCTCCCAAAATGCTTGGATTACAGGCATGAGCCATTGCATCTGGCCAAAATATATTTCTTATATAAAAGAGAAAGTTTTCACTTTGCTGTGCTCTACTCATGGCTAAAGGTTTCCTAAAATGGGTTTTGTTCTTTTTTCTTCTTCTTCCTCTTCTCTAGAGCAACTAGAAAGAAAGAGCATTGTTCTTAACCCAAAGAGTTCTCCTCTAAAAATTTCTATATCAACAAAACTAATTATATTAGAAAATATCACCAACTAAATAAATAAAACAAGGTAAAGCTTTTTGCTAATTATTTTTTGAATAATTTATTCCTGGGCTCCCAGGAGAAGGAGACCCAGGCACAGCTGCTGCTTGGCTTTGCTATTGGCTGCCATGTGGACTGTGGGCAAATGAACTCACCACTTTGTGAATGGCTCTTAGAGAGGAAATTCTAAAAAGATCCCAGTATTTGCAGGAGTCACACAGGAGATTGAATCTTCAAGGGAACAGAGTGCTGGAGAACACAGAGACACTTAGGTTAGCTAAAGAAGATGAAACATGAGGCTGGGCATAGTGCTTCATACCTGTAATCTCAACACTCTGAGAGGCCAAGGCAGAAGGATCACTTGAGCCCAGGAGGTTGAGGCTGGCCTGAGCGACATAGTGAGACCTCCATCTCTACAAAAAATAAAAAGAAACCAATCAGGCCAGGCACTGCTGCTCACGCCTGTAACCTCAGCACTTTGGGAGGCTGAGGCTGGCAGATCATCAGGTCAGGAGTTCAAGACCAGCCTGACCAACATGGTGAAACCCCATCTCTACTAAAGATACAAAAAATTAGCCAAGCGTGGTAGCATGTATCTGTAATCCCAGCTACTCTGGAGGCTGAGGCAGGAGAATTGCCTGAACCCAGGAGGTGGAGGTTACAGTGAGCTGAGACTGTGCCATTTCACTCCCACCTGTGCAACAGGGTAAAACTCCATCTCAAAATAATAATAATAATAATAATAATAATAATAATAATAATAAAAAGAAGAAAAAGAAACCAATCAGGTATGGTGGCATGCACCTGTGGTCTCAGCTACTCAGGAGGCTGAGGTGGAGAATCACATGAGCCTGGGGAGGTGAGACCCTGTCAAAGAGAAAGAGGATGAAGAGGAGGAAGAGGAAGAAAAAGAAGGAGAAGAAGCACAAGGAGGAGGGAAAGGAGGAAGAAGAGAAGGAGGAGGAGGAGGAAGAAGAAGAAGAAGAAAGGAGGAGGAGGAGGAGGAAGAGGAGGAGGAAGAAGAGGAAGAAGAAATAGAATAAAAAGAATCTGGCCAAGCACAGTGGCCTATGCCTGTAATCCTAGCACTTTGGGAGGCTGAGGCGGATGGATCACCCGAGGCAAGAAGTTCAAGACCAGCTGGACTAAGATGGTAAAACTCTGTCTCTACTAAAATTACAAAAATTAGCAGGGTGTGGGTGGCAGGTACCTGTAATCCCAGCTACTCAGGAGGCTGAGGCAAGAGAATCACTTGAACCCAGGAGGCAGAAGTTGCAGTGAGCTGAGATTGTGCTACTGCACTACAGTCTGGGCGACAGAGTGAGATTCCGCCACAAAAAAAAGAAAAAAAGAAAAGAAAAAAAAGAAGAAGAAAGAAGAGGAAATAGAAGAAGAAATTATTTCTGAGTGGCCATGAAGAGTAGGAAGAAAACCCAACCTACCTCTTGCTGGGTCTACGGGGAAAATGCTGATTGAGGCAGAGGAGGTCTTCCAAGAGAGACTAGGTTTAGTGAGTGAGATTCAAAAAGCTAGAAGGAAAGGAAGATATTGAAGTTACTCTTACTGCATAATATGTAACCCCAAAACTTTAGGCTTTTAAAATAACAATCTGTTATTTTTTTTGTGGTCTGGGAGTTGACTGGGTTCAGGTAGGTGATTTTCACTCAGGATCTCTCATGCTATTGCAGTGGGGCTGCAGTCATCACAAAGCCTTCTTCAGTCTCCTGTCTGGCAACTGATGTTGACTGTCATCTGAAACCTGTGCTGGGACTGTTGACTGGAAGATCAAAACGTGGCCTCTCCCTGTGATCTGGGCTTCCACACAGCATGGCGATTAGGTGAAAGAGCAAGTATCCCAGGAAGACTATGGACAAATGGTGTCACCTTTTATGATATACCTTGAATCGCTTCTGCCAGTCACAGACCTTCTCAAATTCAAAGGCAAGGAGGACAGACCTGACCTCATCATGGAACAATGTTAAGGTTATGTTCACGCCTGTAATCTCAGCACTTTGGGAGGCCGTGGCAGGCAGATCACCTGAGGTTGGGAGTTCAAGACCAGGCTAACATGGAGAAACCCATCTCTGCTAAAAATACAAAATTAGCCTCACTTAATGGTGCATGCCTGTAACCCCAGCTACTTAGGATGCTGAGGCAGGAGAATCACTTGAACCTGGAGACGGAGGTTTTGGTGACCCAAGGTCGTGGCACTGCACTCCAGCCTGGGCAACAAGAGCAAAACTCTGCCTAAAAAAAAAAAAAAAAAAAAAAAAAAAAAAGAGAGAGAGTCTTGCTCTGTCACCCAGGCTGGAGTGCAGTGGTACAATCTTGACTCACTGCAACTTCTGCCTCCCGGGTTCAAGCAATTCTCCTGCCTCAGCCACCCAAGTAGCTGAGATTACAGGTGTGTGCCACCACACTCAGCTAATTTTTGGACTTTTAGTATAGATGGTGTTTCACCATGTTGGCCAGACTGGTCTCAAACTCCTGACCTCAGGTGGTCCACCCGCCTAGGCCCCCCAAAGTTCTAGGATTTCAGTTGTGAGCCACTGTATCCAGCACATGCTATTAATAAAAAGTCAGAAAACAGCCAGATGTGGTGGTTCCTGCCTGTAACCCTGTACTTCGGGAGGCTGAAGTGGGTGATCACTTAGGTCAGGACTTTGTGATCAGCCCAAGGAACATAATGAGACCCCCCATCTCTATAAAAATTAAAAATTAAAAATCAGAAAATGACAGATATTGGCAAGGATGCAGAGAAAAGGGAATGCTTATACACTGTTGGTGGGAATGTGAATTAGTACAATCATTATGGAAAATAGTACAGAGACTTCTCACAGAAGGAAAAATAGAATTACCATTCAACCAGCAATCTCACTACTTGGTATCTACCCAAAGGGAAATAAATCAATATATGAAAAAGTATCTGTACTCATATGTGTATCACAGCACTATTCATAGTAGCAAAGATATGGAATCAACCTAAGTGTCCATCAACAGATGACTGGATAAAGAAAATATGGTACATATACACCATGGAATGTGACCCATTCACAAGAAGAATGAAATCATGCCTTTTCCAGCAGTGTGGATAGAACTGGAGGACATATCTTCAGTGAAATAACTCAGAAACAAAGTCAAATACTGATGGTTCTCATGCGTGGGAGTTAAACAATAGGTACACTGAAGACTCCAAAAGATGGGAGGAGGGTGAGGGGTGAATATTCTCCTTTTGAGTACAATGTTCACTCTTTGGTCATGGCTGCACTCAAAGCCCAGATCTCAGCGCTCCACAGTAAGAAAACCTGCACCCATACCTGCTAAATAGATCAAACATTTTTTCGTTTTTATTTATTAAAAAATTCAACTGGCCGAGTGGAGTGGCTCACACCTGTAATCCAACACTTTGGGAGGCCAAGGCAGGTGAATCAACTGAGGCTGGGAGTTTGAGACCAGCCTAACAATATGGCAAAACCTTTTCTCTACTAAAAAGACAAAAATTAGCCAAAAATTAGCCAGCCTGTGGTGACATTCACCTCTATTCCTAGCTACTGGTGAGGCTGAAGCAGGAGAATCACTTGAACCCAGGAGGCCAGAGGTTACAGTGAGCTGAGATGGCATCATTGCATTCCAGCCTGGATGACAGAGTGAGACTCCATCTCAGGGGGAAAAAAAATTAACTTTTGGCTGAGTATGGTGGCTTATGCCTGTAATTCCAGAATTTTGGGAGGCTGAGGCAGGCAGATCACTTGAGGTCAGGAGTTTGAGACCAGCCTGCCCAACAGGGTGAAACCTTGTTTCCACTAAAAATACAAAAATTAGCCAAGCATGGTGTTGCACACCTGTAATCCCAGCTATTCAGGAGACTGAGGCAGAAGAATCACTTGAACCCAGGAGGCAGAGGTTGCAGTGAGCAGAGATTATGTCACTGCACTCCAGCCTGGGTGACAGAGCGAGACTGTTTCAAAAAGGAAAAAAAAAAATCAACTTTTATTTTATTCTTATTTTTGAGACAGGGTCTCACTCTGTCACCCAGGCTGGAGTGCAGTGGTGTGATCATGGCTCACTGTAGCCTTGACTTCCTGGGCTCAAGCAATCCTCACCTCAGCCTGCTGAGTAGCTGGGACTGTATACAGGTACATACCACCATGCCTGGCTAATTTTTTTTTTTTTTTTTTTGGTGATGAAGTTTCACTCTTGCTGTCCAGACTGGAGTACAATGGCTCAATCTTGGCTCACTGAAACCTCCTCCTCATGGGTTCAAGCAATTCTGCTGCCTCAGCTTTTCTGAGTTTATAGTCATGTAAACTGGGATTACAGTCATGCGCCACCATGCCTGGCTAATTTTGTATTTTTATTTTTTGTAGAGATAGGGTCTTGCTATATTGCCCAGGCTGGTTTGTAACTCCTGGCCTCAAGCAATCCGCCCACATTGGCCACACAAAGCATTGGAATTACAGGCATGAGTCACTGTGTTCCACCACAAAACATTCTTTTGTTTTGTTTTGTTTTAAAGACAGAGTTTCGCCTCTTGTTGCCCAGGCTGGAGTGCAGTGGCACAATCTCAGCTCACTGAAAACTCTGTTCAAGCAATTTTCCTGCCTCAGCCCCTTGAGTAGCTGGGATTACAGGCATGCACCACCATGCCCAGTTAATTTTGCATTTTTCATAGAGAAGAGGTTTCTCCATGTTAGTCAGGCTGGTCTTAAAACCCTGTCCCCAGGCAATCTGCCTGCCTTGGCCTCCCAAAGTGTTAGGATTACAGGCATGAGCCACCATGCCCAGTCTACAAAACACTCTTTTAAAAAGTTTTCATTTTTTTTTTTTTCTAGAGTGGTGAAATAATTAATCTCCGTGGTGAGGACTTCCTTTTAATTTGGGAAAATATATTTGCTGTGGGCCTATCGTTTGTGAAAAGATACTAATAGCTAACATTTTTTGAGTGTCCATTCATTCGTTCATTCAAAATATATATACTTGGGCAGGCAGGGTGGCTTATGCCTATGATCCCAGCACTTTGAGAGGCGGTTCACTTGAGATCAAGGGTTCAAGACAAGCCTGGCCAACTCAGTGAAACCCCACTTCTACTAAAAATACAAAAATTAGCCAAGTGTGGTGGTGTGTGCCTGTAGTCCTAGCTACTTGGGAAGCTGAGGCAGGAGAATTGCTTGAACCTGGGAGGCAGAGATTGCAGTGAGCCAAGATTGTGCCACTGCATTCCAGCCTGGGTGACAGAGCAAGGCTCTGTCTCAAAAAAAAAAAAAAAAAAAAAAAAAAAAGAGCCTACTGCAAGAGGTCTGGCTGGCCAAGACACTCCATCTGTTACACACTTGGGCCCACCACAGGTTTCCTGCTGAGGCATACATTTCCCAGGCTATACCAGCCAATGACTCTGCATGCCAAGGATTCCAGATTCAGGCCATTCCTGCCTTACAAACAGCTCCTATGTGGACAGTCTGTTTTGGGCTCTCAGCAGAGCTCTGAAACAGTTGTCAGACCTTCATTGTGGTCAGTAAGCTCTCCATGAATATTCATTTTGTTTATTTTATTTTTATTTTAGATAGGATTTGGAGTGCAGTGGCTCAATCATGGCTCACTGCAGCCTCCACCTCCTGGGCTCAAGCAATCCTCCCACCTTGGCTTCCAGAGTAGCTAGTACTACAGATACATACCATTATACCCAGCTAATAATTTTATTTTTTTTGGAGAGACAGGGTCTCGCCATGTTGCCCAGGCTGCTCTTGAACTCCTGGCCACAAGTGATCCTCCTTCCTTGGCTTCTCAAAGTACTGGGATTATAGGCATGAGCCACTATGTCCATCCATGCCTTTAAAAATTTTTATTACTATTTTTTGAGACAGTCTCACTCATTCTGTCTTGCTCGTTCTGTCTTGCTCATTCTGTCACCCAGGCTGGAGTGCAGTGGTGTGATCTCAGGTCACTGCAACCTTCCACTCCTGAGTTCAAGCGGTTCTCCTGCCTCAGCCTCCCAAGTAGCTGGGATTACAGGCACCCACCACCATGCCAGGCTATTTTTTGTATTTTTAGTAGAGATGAGGTTTCACCATGTTGTCCAGGCTAGTCTCAAAGTCTGGACCTCAGGTGATCTGCCTGCTTTGGCCTCCCGAAGTGCTGGGATTACAGGTGTGAGCCACCTCACTCAGCCCATCCATGCTTATTCTTGCTCCTGCTTTCCTTTATTCTTCACAGGATTTTTGTTTTGTTTTTTGTTTTTTGTTTTTTTTTTTTCCTGTCAATCTCTTGCACATCAAATTCTACCTTGGCATCTGCTTCCTGTGTTACGGAACTTAACTGAGATCAGCTCATCTGGTTCCTGCTTTGCTCATTGTTCTCTTGTGGCACAATGAGTGGGAGTACCCTTCCTGGGAGTACCCTTCTTGCAGTCCAGGAAGTAAAAAATTGTGTCGCTGAAAGAGCCTTTGTCTCAGTGCTAATTTTTCTTTGTGGTACCTAGCATCTATTTCCAACACTATCCGAGGCCAGGAGTTTGAGAGTAGCCTGGGCAATATGGCAAGACACCATCTGTATGAAATTTAAGAAAATTAGTCAAGCATGGTGGTGCAGATCTGCAGCTGGGATTACAGGCACGTGCCACCACGCCCAGCTAGTTAGTAGAGACAGGGTTTCACCATGTTGGTCAGGCTGGTCTCGACCTGCTGACCACAAGTAATCCACCTGCCTTGGCCTCCCAAAGGGCTGGGATTAGAGGCATGAGCTGCTGTATCTGGCCCCAAACTGTTTTTGTTACAGATAGGGTCTCCCTCTGTCATCCAGACTGGAGTGCAGTGGCACAATCATAGCTCACTGCACCCTTGAACTCCTGGGCTCAAGCAGTCCTCCTACTTAACCTCCCGTGGAGCTGGGACTACAGCAACTTTTCTACTTCCCACAATTCCCTCCTTTTTTACTTTACAGTTTTTCTTTTTAAACTTTTTTTTTTTTTTTTTTTTTTTTTTTTGAGACGGAGTTTCGCTCTCGTTACCCAGGCTGGAGTGCAATGGCGCGATCTCGGCTCACCGCAACCTCCGCCTCCTGGGTTCAAGCAATTCTCCTGCCTCAGCCTCCTGAGTAGCTGGGATTACAGGCAAGCGCCACCATGCCCAGCTAATTTTTTGTATTTTTAGTAGAGACGGGGTTTCACCATGTTGACCAGGATGGTCTCGATCTCTCGACCTCGTGATCCACCCGCCTCGGCCTCCCAAAGTGCTGGGATTACAGGCTTGAGCCACCGCGTCCGGCCTTTTTAAACTTTTTAAAACATATTTTGGCTTAGTTGTTCTGCCTGAGTTTTTGAAAGAAAAAGCTTCTCTCTCTTTTCTCTTTATACTCTTTCTTTAGTTTTACTTCCTGTCTCTCTCCCTCTTTCACATACACTTTCTCTTACTATTTTCTGACATACATCAACCCTTTTTTAACATTTTGCTGGCTGGAGAGGGACTTGCCTTAGGCTGCTGCTTGTGTTACTGGCTATAATTACCTTCTTGCTTATCACATTGCTCAATGACTTTGCAGGGCTAAGTGCCTGGAATTTTTCTTGAAGAAATTCAAGATTTTTTTTTTTAATGTTCATGCTTGTGTGGGCCTGAAGGCTGCTGCCCCTTCTCACTTGGAGCACCTGAATTGACTGAGGCAGTATTTACACATGCAATCAATACTATCTCACTCATCAATTCCACTCCTAATGTATTCCCAATAGAAATGAGGACTTATGCTGGCTGGGCAGGGGGACTCATGCCTGTAATCCCAGCACTTTGGGAGGCTGAGGTGGGTGGATCACCTGAGGTCAGGAGTTCAGCCTGACCAACATGATGAAACCCCATCCCTACTAAATACACATACAAAAAAATTAGCCAAGTGTGGTGGCACATGCCTGTAATCCCAGCTACTTGGGAGACTAAGGCAGGAGAATCACTTGAAACCAGGAGGCAGAGGTTGCAGTGAGTCATGATTATGCCATTGCACTCCAGCCTGGGCAACAAGAGCAAAACTCTCTCTCCAATTAAAAAAAAAAATGAGGGCTTATGTCCACCGAAATTCATTTATAGAATGTTCATAGCAACTTAATTCATGATAGCTAAAAATAAGCCAGATGTTCAATAGCAGTAGAATGGATAAATAAAATTGTGAATATCTAATATAATGGATTATTACACAGTAATGAAAAATGTCACTATCTGCAATAACATCACTATTACACAGTAATGAAAAATAACAGTCACTATCTGCAAAAACAGTTAATCAAGAGATCTCATTATCTGACTAAAGGAATCTATAAGGGAAGCTGCAGGAATCCACTTACATTTACGAAAATCATTAGGGATGCAGAGGATTTTTTTTTTTTTTTTTTTTTTTTTGAATCAGGGTCTCACTCTGTCATCCAGGTGGGAGTGCAGTGGGGCAATGTCGGCTCATTGCAGCCTCAACCCACACCCCCGTCACAAAACCCCTGGGCTCAATCAGTCCTCCCCCTCAGCTTCCCAAGTCACTGAAACAACAGGCATGCACCTCTACACCTGGCTAATTTTGTGTATTTTTTGCAGAGACCAGAGCTCCCGATGTTGCTCTGGCTTGTCTCAAACTGTTGGCCTCAAGCAATCCTCCTGCCTCAGCCTCTCAAAATGTTGTGAGAGGAGAGAGCGAGGATGTTTTTGAGGACTGTGGTAAATAGCCTCCTCATATTCATGTCCTCTATAATCCTCTCCCTTTGAGCATGGGCTGGACCTAGGGACTACTGGGACTCTTGGGACTCTTTTCTTATTTCTTTTTTTGTTTGAGACGGAGTTTCACCTTCTAGGCCAGGCTGAAGTGCAATGGTGCAATTTCAGCTCACTTCAACCTCTGCCTCCTGAGTTTAAGTGATTCTCCTGCCTCAACTTCCCAAGTAGCTGGGATTACAGGCGTGTTCCACTATGTCCAGCTAATTTTTGTATTTTTAGTCAAGACAGTGTTTCACCACATTGGTCAGGCTGGTCTTGAATTCCTGACCTCAGGTGATCCACACACCTCGGCCTCCTAAAATTCTAGGATTACAGGCATTAGTTATTGTGCCTTGCTGGACCTAGGTGCTATTTTCTCAGTAGCAATAAAATACGTGAAAGTGATGGGATGTCACTTCTGGGATTAGGTTACAAAAAAGGACTGTGATCTCTCTTTTTCTTTTCTCTCTCTTCCTCTTTCTCATCCCTGGCCCTGGGGCAAGCCAGCTGCTCCTTATGAAGAGGTGCAAGTGGACAAGAACTGAGGTCTCCAGCCAACAGACAGAGAGGACCTGAGGCCTGCCAACAGCCATGGAAGTGAGTTTGAAAGAGGGTTGTAAAGCCTTGCGAGAGCTGCAGCCCTGGCTGACAGCTTGATTGTATCCTCATGAGAGCCTGATCCAGAGGACACAGCTAACCTCACCCAGATTCCTAGCCCACTGAAAATGTGAGGAAAAAACATGTTTATTGTTTATTAAGCTGCTAAATTTGGGGCAATTTTTACCCAACAATAGGTAACAAATACAAGGATATTGCTTATTACTCAAAATCATTATATAAAGCACCTGAAAAATTGAAAGCTGCAACTAGGAAAACACTGAGAGTCTCCAAGAACAATGTGTTTAATCTTGGAGACAGTGAGAAAAGTATATACATGTGTTTTTCTTTTAGTTTTGGCCACCAGGAAACTCAGAGCCAAATGTATGACCCAATTTTAATAACTGTGTAAGCCCCTATGACCTGCTTATCTGTGTTCTTATTCCTGGCATTTCATCATCTTACTCTTTTTGTCTCTCTCTTTGTCTTTTTTTTTTTTTTTTTTTTTTAAACAAGACAGAATTTTCCTCTTGTTGCCCAGGCTAGAGTGCAGTGGTGAGATCCCGGCTCACTGCAAACTCCGTCTCCCAGCTTCAAGGGATTCTTCTGCCTCAGCCTCCCAGGTAGCAGTTGGGATCACAGTCATGAGCCACCACACCTGACTAATTTTGTATTTTTAGTAGAGGCAGGGTTTCTCCATGTTGGTCAGACTAGTCTTGAACTGCTGACCCCAGATAATCCACCTGCCTCGGCCTCCCAAAGTGCTGGAATTACAGGCATGAGCCACCGCTGCTGGGCCTGACTTTTCCTTTACTTAGTACTGATTTTATTAGCTCATCTATATTTTTCTATATGATATGAATTATCGTAAGCCACCTCAAATTCAGCTTACAGAGAAACAAGCATTCATAAATTTGTCTTTTTTTTTTTTTGAGACTCTCACGCTATAGCCTAGGATGGAGTGCAGTGGCGCGATCTCGGCTCACTGCAACCTCCGCCTACCAGGTTCAAATGATTCTCGTGCCACAGCCTCCCAAGTAGCTAGGATTACAGGGGCCTGGCTAATTTCTCATTTTTATTTTTAGTAGAGGCGAGGGTTTCACCATGTGGGCCAGGCTAGTCTGGAACTCCTGACCTCAAGTGATCCACCTGCCTCGGCCTCCCAAAGTGTTGGGATTGCAGGTGTGAGCCACCGCGCCCAGCCCATAAATTATTATTTTTTAAATAGTTTTTTTAACTTAAAACATAGTTTTGCAGATTAAAAAAAAAAAGTTTTGCATTGGTTGAACACAAAGTTCCTGGAGGTGGTGGTGGGAAGATCAGGTCACAGGAGGTTGGTTCAGGAGCTACTCACCCGGCGGCCGCCGCCCCTCCTGCGCGCCGCGGCCTCTGTCTCCGCGGGCCAATCCAGCCTCCCTGGCGGTTGCGCGCCGCGTCCCCTCCTTCCGCGCTTGCGCGCCTTGCCCCCGCCTCCTGCCTCACTCCTTTCTGGGCGGTTGGGCGACGCGCGTGTGGGGGCGGGCCTGGAACAAACCACCGAGCCAATGGGGTGATGCGGCGGTGGTGGGGTGTGCGGCTGCGGCGGCGGCGGAGCAGGAGAAGGAGCGGACCCCGGGCACCAGGCCTTCTTCAGCTTGGGGTCCTGGGTGGAGTGGTCTGCTGCCCTTGCCTCCAGGTAGCCGGCGTTGGGGAGTGGGCTGGGAGCCGCGGCGCGGGGCGAGGGTTAGGCTAGGGGTGGGGAGCGCTGGGCGGGAGCTCCGGCCTGGGGTCAGCGGGGACCGGGCCACCGAAGAACTGAAGGGGTTGGGGCCCGGGCGGGCCGGGGGCGGCGGCTGGGCACTCCTGTCCCCGGGGCGGCCGAGCCCAGGCTGCGCGGCGAAGGTGGCGGGGCCTCGAGGTCGCCAGGGAGGGATGAGGTGACAGAATGCAGTCGGAAGGCCGGGGCGGTCGGGGGCCGCGCTGGGCTGGAGCGCCAGGGTCTGAGGAGGGTGGATCCCAGCCGGCCTGACAGGTTTCCTGGTTCTCTGGAAGCGGGCCGGGGGTGTGGGACCCTGTCCGCCGCACCTGCGAGGCCGGCGGCCACCTCCTGCCCCTCATCGCTGCAGACGAGGCTTTGGGGCTGGCGACTCAGGGTCTTCCTTGTGCTAGGACAGGTGTTTCTGTGGTCAGGCCTCTTTGTACTCCAGCGTTAGTGAGAATTTGCAGACTTCCTGGGACAGTGACATTTGCAGGCAAACACGAATTTGACCCAAACCTGGAAGAAGATACCGACACTTAACATATCTGATTTCTTTGATTTCCCCTCGTGTATTTCAGTGTGCCAGGAAAGGGAAATGGTGTGCTTTTGGGTCTGAGTTTAAGCTTCATCGGAGTAAAGGACAAGTATGTTATGTGTATGGTGGTGTTTTAGGCATTGGGATAACTTAAACGTTGTTGCTTATTAGTATAATAGGATACCGCCAACAGATTAAAAACACCCACTTTGCTAAACTTAAGCGATTTGTGTTACTGATCATTTTAGTTTTTTTTTTTTTTACTGTTGTAATTGGTTTGTCTACATTTTATTTTAACACATTAAAATTTTCTAGGCAAGTTACTTTGAAAAAGGGAGGAATTTACATTTTAAAGGTGACTGCTGTTTTTTTGTGTGTTTGTTTGTTTTTGGGGGGCGGGATTAAAAACATAACAAGTCAAAGGAATGATTCCAGAATTGATAGGTTACGATTTTAATAGAGACTGTGTCTAATATTTAGATGTTTATTAACATGTTTGTTAACAGTAGTCACATTTGAGCAATTTCTTCCCCTCCTGTTGATTGGTAAATTGGTATGTAAACAGAAATGTATAGCTCACTAGTTTATTTCGACTCACATATTGTTGATTACATGAACAAGGTAGCATTGGAGTTTGTTTCGTTATTGGTTACAAATTTCAGGGTGCTGATCTTCCCACTTGGCCTTCTCATGGACCTATCTCATTTGCTCTTAAACTAAAATCCTGTAGCTTTTTACAGGGGAAATAATTATCACATGGCCAAATGAGACATTTTGAAAATGCATTTAAAATATAAGTATTAGTTTACAGGGGAAAACAAATAGATGTGACAAAAAGCTCACATTTGTTGTGGTTATTCCCAACCAAGTTAATAGGCTGTTTAGACTCTCAGATACCCTTTGAGAAACATTGAATGTCTTTTATGCAAAAATGTTATGTTATTTCCACTTTGGGAGAGGACTTTTAAACTCATAAGTACCTTCCACCTGAAGTTAGTCGAATGAATAAATATATAAGGAAAACATTATGCAGCAGCATATTTCAAGTATTTTAAAAAAAAGAACTAAAAATAACTTTTAATCCTAGGTTAATATGGAATTTAAGCAGAATTATGATCAATTTTAGATTTTTTTTGAAACAAGTAGTCTAACATAAATGGATCTTTTAACATTGGGGCATGGAAGGAGTACTTTACTGTATGCTTAAGTTCTTAAAATTGACTTTCTTTAAAAGAGAGTTTTGAACCATTTCATAAGCATACACTCTAAATATTCTCATAGTTATATATCATGCAAGAGCTGCTTGTTTGTGCATCATAAAACATCAAGAAGTATATTAAAAGTATATATAAGTACATGTAAGACAAAAGGTAACTGGATCTCTATAGTTTTAAATGTGAATTTAATATGTTGTGACTGAAAGTTGTTTCAGTGTGTAGCTGGGGACATAAAACAGTTTAACTTAGATGCTTATTAAAGGATAGGTAAAAAGATATGCTAATAAGAAGAGTAAATAATTTACTTGCTATCTGTACAGTGAAATTATTTTAAGAAATTTCTTCAGTTTGATCAGCCTGTTTATAAACTACTTGCAAAAATCAAGTAATTTATAAGCTACTCATTTAATAAATGAATTTACAGGTTACCTTACTTTGGAATACTTAGAAACAGGCTGATCAAAATCACATATGTATGTATACATAATCACATATACATATCTAGACTAATTTTCTTTTGGATGTAGGTAGACAAAACATTGGAAGTTTTTATTTTGTCTAGCTGAAAGAGACTTTAAGTGAAAGATGATTATTGGACACCTCAAGTTAGTTTATTTTGAGTAGTGATTGCCATGTAGCAGTACTACTTGAAGATGTGACTCTTAGGAAAAGAAAGTTTGAGCCCAGGCCTGGTACGGTGGCTCATGCCTGTAATACCAGCACTTTTGAGGGGACAAGGCAGGTGGATAACCTGAGGTTGGGAGTTCAGGACCACCCTGACCAACATGGAGAAACCCAGTTTTTACTAAAAATACAAAATTAGGTGGGTGAGCATGGTGGTGCATGCCTGTAATCCCAGCTACTCAGGAGGCTTAGGAGAATTGCTTGAACCCGGGAAACGGAGGTTGAGATGAGCCGAGATCGCACCACTGCACTCCAGCCTTGTCGACAAGAATGAAACTCCGTCTCAAAAAAAAAAAAAAAAAAAAGAAAAGAAAAAAAAGTTTGAGCCCAGAGAAAAGTTAACAGATGAGAAAGATTCTGAAGAAAGTCCTCTTCCAGGATCCAGTGTCAGCACATGACCTGTGTACCGAGTGTCATCACATCACAGGAACATTTTTTCTTCCAGAGCTGGCACCTTGGAAGGTCCTTGGCCTCTAAAGGCAGTGATAATGATAACAGCAGCAAATCATCATTTATGGCTCATGATGGAGGGCTAGGGGGTAGGGATCCTAGGTTCTTGATAAGAATGAGGGTCTGGGGACTCCTGGGGACAGCTGAGTGAGTCCTGTAGGACTCCTGGGTCCCCAGGGGCCAAGTCTGTCTTCAGTGGCACTGGGCCTAGGCTGGGATGCTGGGGCAGCCACTGGAGCATCAGCAAGACAAACAGCCACAGAGGCCGTGGATCCATCGGAGGTGGCAGGTGTAGGATCATCTGTCCACTAAGTAGAGTCACCAGGCCTGGCTGACCACTGCTCCCACAGACAATGCCCTGTCCCTTGCCTCACACTTTGACAGGGCAGTGGCTGGCACCTGGGGCCTCATGGAGCATCACTCTAAGACCTCTGTGTCCTGGTCATTGAATGGGAACTTGAGTCACCCAGGGCCATTGGAACAAGGAGGAAGAATCAGGTCCCACGATGTTTTGGGACAGTGTTCAGCACAGAAAAATGTACAGAATGCATGCACGACACGGGAACTCTTGGTGTGGGAGCCAATATTTTATGACCCCAGCCCTAATCTGAGCACTCTCACCTGTGCAATCTGAAAGAAACAGGAGACTTGCAGGAAAGATAGTGCCTGGATTTAACTTAAAGGAACTAAAATGTTGAATGTTCACACTCCTGATATCCTTCCATATCAACTCTCTCAATGCTCCCATCTTCACTATCATACAAGGTAACTGAGGCAGTCAGATTTACTAACTCAATGCCACTCAGCTGCACTGAGTTCATACTGATCACATATGAACAAACTGCTTCTTCTGAAGTTTACCTTGTTTGATCATGCTGCTGCTGATTTTGTGCAGCTCTGGGACAAACTCCACCTGGTTGAGGATAAAGCAAATCTGAGGTGACTCCATCCTGCTGTCATTTCCCATCAATTCCCCACTGTCCTCCTCTGCCCCTTCAGAGTCTCGCACACAGGCTGATACTATATGGTGGCCCTAATGGAGTCCAGCAAGTATTTCAAGTTCTCCTCTCGGCCCCTTGAAGCTGGAGGTAGCTATGGGATTTGCTTTGACTCAGGAGATGTGAGTGGAAGTGAAGTGTGTCACCTCAAGGCAAAAGAGTTGGAAGCCATTGAGACTGGCCACCCTTTCCCTCATCTCATAGAGCCGCTGATAGGTCCCATATAGAGGCTGCTCCTTTATTCTGGTGGCAGATGAGGGGATGTGGAGCACAGAGCCCAGGAGAGACATGGAGGATATGCAGCATGAACAGACAGAGAGCCTTCAGTGTTGTAAATTTCCGTTTTGGGGGACTGTTCATTACCTATAATGATACCTGGTCCGTCCTAGCAGACAGGCACCATCTGTTCCATGCTCTGTGAAGCACACTAGCCTACCATCAGAACATAAACTGGTTGTTAGACACATGTAAGCTTCAGTTCCAGCTCTGCCTCTTACTGACTGCAACCTCAGGCATTTAACTTTCAGTTTCTGAGCCTCAGTTTCAACTCTGTAAAATGGGTTGGTTATGCTACTTCAGGTTGTGGAGAGAATGAAATGAAATAAAAATGCATGTAGGGCATTGAGCCCAGGGCCTGGCATACACAGCGAGTACTTTGTATTAGCCATGGAACTTCATAATGCATATTGATTGTCAATATTCAGACATTGCAGCAAAGTATTACCCAAAAAAGTAAACTTATTTGTGTATGTATTCTTTCAATCTTTATTTAAACAGATAGGATAAAATTATGAATATTCTTTCATATCCAG